AAGCACATAAGTGCAAATATACAGGGTGATAGAGAACTCGCTTTCAGAATATATTGTTATTTTCTTTTAAATATGTTTTTATAGTAATTATTTAGTTAAAATACAGACGGCAACTATTTTTTTAGACATATATATATCTGCTATTATGCATTCAAAGAGGATTAATATGAAATTTTTATTTGAAGAAGAAAAGCAAAAAGTAAAGTTTATGGCAATGTTTGTTTTTCAAGAAAGCTTCCAAAAAAATGGTGAACTTCTATTGTAATACTATGAGCTTCTATAATAGGTTACAAACATTGCCATAAGATTCAGCGTTGATCGATAACCTATGTTCCATATGTTTTGAAAGTTCCCAAACATGGAGTTTAGCCGATAGGTAGTCCAGGGGAAATGCTCAAATAGTGGATAAGAATTTAGAAGTGTAGTTTTAAGGAGGACAGTCTAGGGGTTGGAATAAACCTGTCAGAATTCAAAATATATTATTTCTCTGGAAATGGGAAGCTTTCAGAGTTTGTTCGACAAGGTGCACCATGCTAGACCTGATCGGAAGGCCTAATTTCTCCAGATTTCTTTTCCAGTAGCTCCTCTATCAAATACTGGAAACCGCATGATTCTAACTCTTTCCGTTAAAAAGTTATTCAAAAAATACTTTTTTCCATTCTATTTTGAAATGAATAGTGGATTACTAAATTTTACGACTTTTCTCTGGTCTAACTTCAAACACCACATAATTCATGAATTTATTATATTCCACGAGAAATTTCGATGTCATATACTCAAATGCCCTGAACGCTATAAGGGAATGTGAGTATTCCCTAGGGAATGTCCACATTCCCTACGAATGTCCGGGAATGTATAGATTCCCCAGAGAATGTGCATATTCCCTAGGGAATGTATACATTCCCTGTAACATAGTACACTGGACAAAATCGCAAAATAGACTGCTTTATATCACTATACCAACTTTGTACGAAAAAAAAGGAACGAAGGGGAAAAATAACACAACGAAGGGAGGAGATTGCGAAAAGTAGGCATTCAGTACCAGATAACATCGAATATAGATACGAATTCTGTGTGTGAATAATTTTTTGTTTTGACAACAGGTAATGACAGCTGAAAAAAATATATATTAGATATCGGCATCCCGATAGCTTAGTAAAAAAGAATAGGTGTACACAGCGTGACTGAATCACTCTGCTTTTGCAATGTAGTTTCACACTGCATCATAGACAAGACTAAGTTGTTTTTTTATCCTCAAAGTTTGATCATAATAAAATTATGGGTGAGTCTATTGACACTCCCAGGAGTGTCAACAAGGAGCTATTGCCAATCCCTGGGCGTGTCAACAGGAAGCTATTGCCACTCCTTGGGCGTGTCAACAAGAAGCTATTGCCACTCCTTGGGCGTGTCAACAAGAAGCTATTGCCACTCCCTGGGCGTGCCAACAGGAAGCTATTGCCACTCCTTGGGCGTGTCAACAAGGAGCTATTGTCACTCCCTGGGCGTGTCAACAAGAAGCTATTGCCACTCCCTGGGCTTGTCATCAAGGTGCTAAGATGAAGAAATCTTCTGAATATTTTCCTTGAGGTTCATAGCAAGCAGTTTTATACATTTTCACAGACTAACTGAGTATAACTATAAATAATATTTTGCTTTTTTTTTCTCTAATTTTCTTTTATACCCAAGTCTTGAAAATGAGCCTGCAGATTTATCTTCATTAGAAAATGATATTTATATAGTCTTCTCTGTTGAGATTCATACCTATATTTCACTTTTATCAAAAAATATACCCGTCCGCATAGATTAACATTTTTTTTCCGATAGATATTTTCTTATATAAAGGCATGATTTATCTTTATTTCTTCAACGTTTCCAGAGAGCTTCACTTCAAGACTTTGGAAAACAATTCGAAAGCCATCCGTCTTTTCTCTTCACTACTTTTTCACTATACAGTTTTTCCTTAAAAAATAAATATTAATATAAATACTATATACATAATATTAATAAATATTAATAGTTGAGTAGTGTAGAAGTCAAAAGTTCAATTCAACTATTCCAACTATTCAATTATTCAAGTGTTAATTCAATTCTACATTCACTCTCACCACCCCTACTCCCCTCCGTTCCGACCTCTTGCCTCATTCGTGTTCAAGTGGAAAATTTACCACCCCCAATGCAAAACTGCATAAGTATGGAACGTTTTTTGCAACTGAATATCTGAAAAGTCGAATAGTTTCTATTTTATTCATTTTCAGAAGTAACGAGTTGAATGAATAGTTGAATATTTGAATAGTTGAATAAATGACTAGTTCAATAATCGAAATAATTTTTCAACTATTAATAGTTGAATTCAACTTTTGACTCCTGCACGCATGTACCAGTTGGGATTAGTGTGAGAAACGAGGCACTATGTCTTCATAGACACGGCAAAGGAGTGGCAATAGCTCCTTGTTGACACGCCCGGGCGTGGTAATAGCTTCTTGTTGACACGCCCAGGGAGTGGCAATAGCTCCTTGATGACACGTCCGGGCGTGGCAATAGCTCCTTGATGACACGCCCGGGCGTGGCAATAGCTCCTTGATGACACGCCCAAGGAGTGGCAATAGCTCCTTGATGACACGCCCGGGCGTGGCAATAGCTCCTTGATGACACGCCCGGGCGTGGCAATAGCTCCTTGTTGACACGCCCAGGGAGTGACAATAGCTCCTTGATGACACGCCCGGGCGTGGCAATAGCCATTCCGTAAAATTATTCAGAGCTCACCTGTTCTTCGTCGAAATCATATTAGCGATTATTCGGTCCATTCTTGTTTCGTCGACACTAATTTTTTGCTCGATTCGTCGACACTTTTTGGAATCAATTAAGCTTGATTCTTATTTCGTCGACATTTTTGTTATCCGTTGTAAAACATGAAATTATAGTTGCAATTATAAAGTTTTTATTTCAAAATGATCAATAGTCTTGAAAAACGTCTGACAAAAAGATCAAAACTTTTTAACACTTATTGTTTTTAATATCTTATACAAAAAAGTCATTTAAATTTAGACTACTTTGATTAGATCTATCTTGTGGATAACGATAACCGTTTAAAGTTAAAACTGCTTTCTTACGTTTCCTGTCGACGATGGAAAACATAGTAGAGTAAAATGTAGCATTCTCGATAAGTAGATGATTTTGTGAGTTCAGTATCGCTGTATAAGCCTATTTATACATTTTTCATTATCAACTACAACTGTTTTCTGTACACTATTAGTTTTGATAAAGAAATCCGTTGCTCAATTGATCTTTTTTATTGAATGTCATCAACTTTTTTCAAACTTAAATTTGTAGTATACATTTTTATCATTGCAACTGTAATTCCATGTTATACAACGGATAGCAAAAAGTGTCGACGAAACAAGAATATCCCCGATTATTCAATATCATCAATAATATTCTTTATTTTGATATTAAACATTGTTTCTTTATTTCATTATAGTTTTTCTTCTCTTAAAATCTCTTTTTATTAAAAAGAAACAAATTGAGTATGATAAAAATCGTTTTTCAATACAGTTTGTTTATCATAAAAAAAAGAATAATTGATGTCGCCGATCTCGTTAGTTATCTACAGGTTTTAAAGCATTATTGTATTTTTCAACGATATCCATTACACTATCGGCTTGATTTACCCTGGAAGAAAGGAAAATTATTAATATATGAAATATAATTTCAATATTAAATTACCTCGAAGTAAATAACAAATTCATCGAGAGATAGCATCATTATTATCTGAATTTCTTTACTTGAGCCTGCTTTTTGAACCGTTAGAGACGATTGAATTGATTCCGTCAACTGACGGTTGAAGAACCGGCCGTTGAGCGCCGACATCTGAGCATACATATAGTCAATACATATAGTCTCTTTTCATAAAGTTTTATTTTAACTATAACAATAATTATTTCATTAGATCATTCATTGACTATAGTAATGTTTATCTATTGAACTAACTGGTTGTATGTTTTCATCAAAAAGTAATATATTACCAAAGTATCTAAATAATTGTTCATGCACAGTATAACGAACAGATAATTTTCGAGGTTTAACAAATTTATAATTCGAATAAACAATAATATACAATATGCCGGGAAGAAATAAATGAATAATAAAAAAAACAACCAATAGAAATAAAGTTGTCAGTAGAGGTCATCCATCTTGGATGTCTAGAAAAAAGCAGGTCTTTCTGATTCCTTCGCCGCGTCTCCTGTCCGTGCTCATCCACGTTACAAGTTAGATTTCCTAGGTATGAACTCAAATGGTGGCACTTAGTGTTAAACTTTACTAGATTTCGACTGTTACAGTAGCCGTCAAAATTATCCACCTCCTTGCATTTCGATAATCACAACAGCTAATAACTTGATATTTGGTGTGATTATAGCCTACGTTGAAGGCTTATCATCCAACAAGGTTCGGCTCAGTTAACTATATGGTTTATGCGAGATAAACTTTCCAGTTTTATCGTCTTCGTGCTTTTTTAACAAAAGCAGTATACTCGTTCAGTTTCTCGCCATTATGTAGTTATCATTACTAACTATTGACCACAGTGGGCAATTTTGCCTAGGCATGTGGACATTGGATTTTAAAGCGCTGGAAAGATCTCTCAGATATGTTTTTGTAGGTTTTCGAGTGTGCTCTTTCTAATGGAGTCACTGACAAAGTTCAAA